GTATTAAATCTTGGTATATTTTATGATGAAGGACGTTTAAACAATTATAGTCAAATGAAAATGGAGGTATGATGATGGTGACATTTATAAATATCTGAGTTAAAATACTTGAGTTAATATGATGACTGTGGAAGAGATGCACGAAAACCTTTTGTAACCAACTGATACACTTTCTACAGTCTGTAAAAAAGGAAGATTTTATGTGTTGTGTTTGTTTTGGGGGGAAAAAAACTTTATAAACAAAAAAGAATAAAAATGGAAGCGTTTCTCATGCTTTATAAATACATCAGCTGCACCAGAGTGGCCAGTCTTGGCCGCTTTTAAGACTTCTGGTCTGGAGGGCTGGCTAGCGGAATTCTGGGAATTGAAGTCCACAAGTCTTAAAGTGGCCAACGTTGGAGACCCCTGAGTTGGCCTGTTTTTGCAAAAAGGGAGGGGTTTTTTTGCTTTCCCTCAGCCCCCAGCAACCTTCTGCAGGCTTCAGCAGGGCTGGGGCAAGGCAGAAACAGGTGCCTTTTTGCCTCCCCTCAGCCCTGCTGAAGCCTGCAGAAGGCTGCTAGGGGCTGAGGGAAGGGAAAAAACTTTTCTTACTTAACTCTTCGAAATCCTCCCAGACCTGCAGCTGGTTCCTTTTAGAATCTTTGGCTTGCCACACTAATATTCTATTTTACTATGCTGTTTCATTAGTGGGGAATTGGGAGGGGGAACAGTAAGGAGTAGCATGTGTTGTTGTCGAAATAAAATTCCTTTCTAGAAGCCAAAAGTCATCGTTTGTTCTCTGCACCTGACCGGAACTGGATGGGTGGAAGCTGCCAGCGTGGCAGTGGGAGATTGGGCCATGGGATGGATTTTGTGGGTGTGGGGATGCAAGATCGTGAACTTTCAACTGGGTGGGGGAAACCCAGGAAGCTTTCAGATTCGGGTTTTCCCAGATGTGCCAACATGTCTCTCTTCATAAATTGGAACTTTGAGCAATACATTGCCTTGGACTCTCTTGATTTAATTTTGGATGTTATTTGGAATGCTGGCATTAACCTGAATCTGAAAGCTTCTCAGGTTTTCCCACCCAGTTGGAAGTTCATGATCTTGCATCCCCACACCCACAAGTCCACTGATGAAGCAGCAGAGTAAAATAGAATATTAGTGTGGCAGGCCAAAGATCCTCAAAGGGACTGGCCGCAAGTCTCACAGGTGCGTCTTATACACCGGTGTGTGTCTTATAGTCTGCAAAAATGCAGTATATCCTTGTGGGGCGCCTTCTTTTTACCTAAGGATCCATCTTAGTGCAACAATAGGTTTCCCAATGTATGGTTTATGGCCATCGATCTCTTTGCTAGTTCCATCCCAAGATGTCATTATCACCATGACAATCTTTTCCCTTCTGCCCCCCACCATATATTCGCCTTCTCTCCATCCTCCCCCTCCCAGATTCCCCAAGGAAAACAAAACCCACCAGCAAGTGAAGTCCACCTCATCTCCTCCCAGGTGAAGGTAGAAATCTGGGAAGATGGCGCTAACTTCAGCAAAAAACGAAGCCATGAATTGGTAAGTGGAGTTGAGGATGGGGTTGACTGGCCCGTAGGTCCCGCTGGGTTTTGTGGACACGTAACATGGAGTCAATAAGCCTGGGACACCTGGGAGGAGGAAGGAAGGAAGGAAAAAGAAAGAAGCAGAAAGGAGGAAGGAAGGGAAGAGAAAGAAAGAAGAAAGGAAGCAGAAAGGAAGCAGAAAGGAGGAAGAAAGGAGAAAGGAAGGAAGGAGAAAGAAGGAAGGAAGGAAGGAAAGAGGAGAAAGGAGGAAGGAAGGAAAGAGAAAGAAAGAAGAAAGGAAGCAGAAAGGAGGAAGAATGGAGAAAGGAGGAAGGAAGGAGAAAGGAAAGAAGGAAGGGAAAGGAGGAAGGAAAGAGAAACAAAGGAAGGAAGCAGAAAGGAGGAAGAAAGGAGAAAGAAGGAAGGAAGGAAGGAAGGAAGGAGAAAGAAGGAAAGAGAAAGGAGGAAGGAATGAAGAAAAAAGAAAGAAGGAAGGAAGGAGAAAGGAGGAAGGAAGGAGAAGGAGGAAGGAAAGAAGGAAGGTGGAAGGAAGGAGGAAGAAGGAAGGAGGAAGAAGGAAGGAAGGAAGGAAGGAAGGAAGGATGGATAAGGGAATAAACAAACAAAACATCCACAAAACTACTAAGTGCAAGTGAATATTGCAGGAAAAGAGATGAGTTAGTCTATTGCAGTGTTTCTCAATCTTGTGAACTTTCAGGTGTGTGGACTTCGACTCCCAGGATTCCTCATTACTGGCATGCTGAGTGGGGAATTCTGGGAATTATAGTCCACGCATCTTAAAATGGCCACGGTTGGGGAACACCGCTTTAGCCCAACAAATTCTTGGGGCCTTTTCAACCCAGCACATTTTGAAGGTTGGGGACGGCTGATCCAGACTGGAAACACTGAAATCATTACTTCTGTCTTCACCCTCTTTTTTTCAACCAGCAAAGCAAACCATAATCTTGCTTTTTGCCGTTGAACATTCCCTCCTGGCGAACAGGTTGTTCTGGCGGGATTTCAGCACCTCTTTTCAAGGGATAACACATGTCTGTTCAGATTCTAACTCGGCACCGATGCGGGTTCAATCCCAAGATTGTTTTCTCATCCCAAAAGAGTTCTTACCTGGCCCCCAAGAGCGAGTGTGTCCAGGGGTGTCAAATTCTGGAATCACTCGAATTCCACGCAACCGGGCGTATTCAATCACCATATTCACATCAGCAGCAGCGTATACGTGAGTGGCCGAGTTATAGGAGCCCTAAAAATATAAATATAGGTAAAGTTTCCCCTCGCACATATGCGCTAGTCGTTCCTGACTCTAGGGGGCGGTGCTCATCTCCGTTTCAAAGCCGAAGAGCCAGCACTGTCTGAAGACGTCTCCGTGGTCATGTGGCCGGCATGACTCAATGCCAAAGGCTCATGGAACGTCGTTCCCTTCCCACCAAAGGTGGTGCCTATTTTTCTACTTGCATTTTTTACGTGCTTTCGAACTGGTAGGTTGGCAGAAGCCGGGACAAGTCACGGGGGCTCACTCCATTATGCGGCGCTAGGGATTCGAACCGCCGAACTGCCGACCTTTCTGATGGACAAGCTCAGCGTCTTAGCCACTGAGCCACCATATACATACGTATATATATATGGCTCCTATTGAATGGCGAGTCAAGGTGGAGTGAAGGAGCTCCATCTTTCAAATCTTATACCGAGGGGAGGACTATGGCTTGCTGGCCGAGATCTCGCTCTGATCAACGAGTTTCTAGCCTTCTGGGACTTCCGGGAGGCTTGTCCCCCCCTCCCCTCCGAGTCTCCTGCACTTAGCGTGTTTCTCGGAGTATAAGACGCACTGGAGTATATGACACAGCAAGGTTTTGAAGAGGAAAATTAAAAAAAAAAGTTTTTGCACTCTGCAAACCTCACAAAAACGCCCCGTTTTTAACAAAAACGACCCCTTTTTGTCAAAAAAAGGGCATGGATAGCCTTTAGGGAGCTTATAGAGTGCTGCTGGGGGCTGGGGCAAAAATGGGCCTTTTTTTGCTCATTTCTGCCTTCCCCAGCCCCCAGGAGCTCTCTGAAAGCTACGCAGGGCCATTTTGGTGAAGGGGTCGGAGTTTCGGGAGGCCAAAAATACTACATTCAGTGTATAAGACGCACCCAGATTTTCAGCCTCTTTTTTTGAGGGGAAAAGGTGCGTCTTATACTTTGGAAAATACAGTATCTGTGTGTAACTTGCAGGCCTGCTTACAGATAAAAGGTAAGACCTAAGATTGCACAAATAGACCAATAAATGCCAGATAAATAATCTCTAAAATCTTGAGGGAGAAAGAAGAAATATTCACACGCCTTTTTCTTCTGCAGTAGAAGAGACATGATTACATACCAATGATTCTGGTTTCCCCCCCCCCCCTCGTTAAATACCTCCCTAATTTCATTTCCCTTTCCTGTCTCTCTCTGCTTATCATGCCTGTCTTGTGATCCGATTTCTGCTTCTTAAAGGCCTTTGGATATGCTAGATCTGCTCGCATAAGATGTTTGAAATTCGCGATCCTCAAAGTGATTGCGCAGCTTCTGGAGCAGCAGAGTCGGAAAGTCCTATGCTGGTTTTACCATTAAAGCGGGAGAATTGTAAACATTCGGAATCGGTGTCTCCCAGAGTTAAAATAAATACGGTACCTCGCATCCAAAACGGCCTGTGTGGAGACTCCTGGGAGGAGAGGGATGGGCGGGGCGGGGCCAGCCAGAGGTGGGATTTGGAGGTTCTCCGCACCGGCCGTAACGTTAGCTACGGGCTCTCCCAAACCCGGGCAAACCTGTAGCAACCCACTCCTCTCCCAGAGTTAAAATAAATACGGTACCTCGCATCCAAAACGGGCTGTGTGGGGACTCCTGGGAGGAGAGGGGTGGGCAGGGCGGGGCCAGCCAGAGGTGGGATTTGGAGGTTCTCCGCACCGGCCGTAACGTTAGCTACGGGCTCTCCCAAACCCGGGCAAACCTATAGCAACCCACTCCTGACTAAACGTCAGCGGTTCAGTGGGAGACGCGACTGCTCACCTTCGAACTGAGATCCGGGAACACCATGCTTTGGAACGGAAACGATTGGTCGTCCACGATGTGCCAGTGGAACACGTTAAATTTGTTGTACGCCATGACGTCCTGAGGGAATGAGGGGTGGTTAGAAAAAAAAAACCTGCAACCACAACACAGAGCCACCTAAGCATAAGAGGGGGACGTCAGAAGGCCCCAAGGCTCGTGAAGGCAAGGTGAGGGTTGTGGTGAAGGACATGAATTAAGTCCGTCAATAGAATAGCATGCTTATCTAGGAGGTGGCTTCCAGATTCACCTACCAGGGTCTCCAGGATGATTCTCAAAGGCAGGAAATGGCGAGAGGTGTCAAGGAGCAGACCTCGGTGCGGGAAGCGAGGGAAATCAACCACATCTGTCTTGTTGAGGTAGAACTATATGAAGGAGAAGAGAAGACCCAGTTGACCCGTGTAAATTTCTCCCAGGGATCTCACCTTCTCCAATGAGAGAGAAAAAACCAGGCCGTGTGCTTGGAGGACTAAACAAGCTCTTCAAGAATTCAGGCCTAGGGTTTATGAGATGCCACGGGATCTTCCCTGGCCCCGTGTTAAGCCGGAAAGCCCTCCGAAGAACAAGTAACAGCTAGCAAAGTGAATTGCAAATGGCAGCTTGAATTAGCTCAAGCTTCAGACTGGGATAGAACGGGAGGGGAGGAGAGAAGGGAGAGGAGAGGAGAGGAGAGGAGAGGAGAGGAGAGGAGAGGAGGGAGAAGAGAGAAAGGAGAGGAGAGAAGGGAGGGGAGAGAAGGGAGAGGAGAGAGAAAGGAGAGGAGAGGAGAGAAGGGAGAAGAGAGAAAGGAGAGGAGAGAAGGGAGGGGAGAGAAGGGAGAGGAGAGAGAAAGGAGAGGAGGGGCGGGAGGGGCGAAGAGAGAAAGGAGAGGAGAGAAGGGAGGGGAGAGAAGGGAGGGGAG